TTGCATAATTATTTAGCGGCCTCAAATGCAGTGCTTACGGTACTTCGAGAGGTGTACTGTATGTCTTTTTTCCTGTTTTAAATTCATTTTAGGTTTAAATAATTATTCACCTTGTTACAAACTTTGATTTAACTTTGTACTGTTTTCAGACATTGCTTTTACTAAAAACAGTTTTTAACTATGAGTTATTCACCTGAATGTTAGTCACACTGGTTTTAAAAGTAGAAGTTTGAGTGGCAGTCAACTTCATACCTCAACTTCACTGAATTTGGAGAGGCGTTCGGCAGCGTCGACTGTGAAGTAATTTGGGAATTGCTTCAATACTCAGCAACCCAAACTGTCATAATCCCTATTCGATATATGTGTGGTGAAGCCATATACCAAGCAATTCACAGCAAAAGACTCACCAAAGCTTTTGAAGCAAAGAAAAGAGTAAGACAAGACTGCCTACTGTCACCGATGATCTTCCTAATTGTGATGGACTAGATCATACAAAAAACACAGTGAGAGGGCGAACATACTGTGAACCGATGTAAAGACCCCAAATCTGAATTTCGAGGATAATTTATTTCTCATGTCGTGCAAATTCGAAGACTCAAAAACGGAAATCAACAAGCTGTCAGAGAATCAACGGAAACAATTCTTCGGTAGGTATGGAGAAGACGGAGGTGATGAAGATACTCGACCAACAAAAACAAGTATCAATCAGTGTCACTTAATTAGGGAACATTTTTTCAACTACGGATGACATGGGTGCATATGTCAGGACCATGATCAGAAAGGCAACACTTAACTCAAAGAACAGGATCGAAACTTTCACCATTATTGCCAATTAAATGCTTTTAAATGGTCCACAGACCTAGCGTGCGCGTCATCAAAAACACTTGCAGCGGACTGCAGTGCTTCATCAACAGCTTTCTTCGCTGCATACTGAAGATTAAATGGACAATCGGGAAGGAAAGGAGACAAGGAATTCAGGCGGACAGGGAACAAACCAACAACCTACTGCCCAACAAAAATGCTGAAGAGACCTTTAGGTGACATCACATGCCAGACTCTCGAGTGAAAACCATATGGAAAAAACGAGCCTTCAACTATGACATATAGGGGGTTATGTGAAGTGGACATGAAAACTTGTGGGAAGTATGGAGTCATCTGAAAGTGATGGCATAGATGAGATTCTACTAAAGATGTCCCCCTGACGCTCTGCGTTCCAGCTGAGGAGCATTCTGGCGTTCATTTCCAAGTGAGCTTGTCAAAAACTAATGACTATGTGCAACATTCTTATTAAACCAAATGACTGTTTTCCGATAGTGCAAACTAGAAATAAATCGGACTGACCCATGCCTGAGAGTTATATCAGTCCAAGACTTAAAGATGTTTCACTACTTTATTAAATAGCCAACTTTGACGGTGAACTTTTACAGTAATCAATGACTGACTAGCTACTTGATGATAACGAATATGTCTTCTGAATGTTCAGTGTTTTCTTTAGACTAGCTGACACTAAAATGCAGTATAGTATACTATGCAAGCTACAGTTTTATTGAGGACCTAAGTTAATGAAACAAATTAGAAAAAATCAATAGGCGTCTATTTTTCTGTTCACAGGCACAGTTGAAACGTATCATTTAGTGACCGAAAGAGTAATCTTCTTACCATATATCAAATCTCTATCTCTGCATCACTCTACCGCAGTGTGCACATCTACCACTGTTAGTATTTCATGATCGAAAATTGGATTTCGGTACACACCCACACAAGGTATGTACATACACATCTTTCCTTGACTTTGAAGCGTTGAAAAATGACCATGAAACCATAAATATACAAAAACAAACAAAGACGTATGGACAAGTTTCATTCTATATCATTTTTTCCATCATTTCGCGGGGCTAAATCATTTTAGCAATCTCTATTACTAGTTTTAAACGATTATGCTTTCAGCCTACTAATATCAAAGTCTTCAATAACAATTGGATTCTTATATAACATGAGTAAAATATCGGACGACATTCCTCGGTAACTAAACACTGTTTGATATATATATATATATATAAGTCAATTATAAGATAACGTTTTCAACTCTTTTAAAATGAACATCTAACGAGATGTCTGTATTGGTGGCCATCTGACAATCATAAAGGCTGAGACAACCTAATGGCCTTTTATTAGTCTACAAGATAATAATTAGTCATTCATTTAATGGCTAAAATGCTTAACTATAGAAGCTGCATAAATTTCATGAATAAATGACCAGGAGTTTGAATACAACTGTTTAGACTGTGGAATATACTCGTATGATCACAAAAGAAACCCAAAAGGCAGTTGCAGCGACGAAACGTGGTTTTCTTTTCAACAATGTCAACAAACAGAATTCACATTTATGAATATATAGCAAAAAGATGAAAGTTCCTGGACTAATTCCTGTTAGGAGTCGAAATAAAATGAAATGTATGTACATGTACTTCGATTCATTCCGATACAGCCCGCTCAAATTGAAAATCAGGAGCCTTGTGTTTACTTCCATATTTTGATCTCCATTTGCATTAAATAACTACACTTTGCTTTTTAATGTGTTTCAACCACTGACAGGAAACAGTTCTCAAATCTCATAATCATTAGTTATGCAATCATAAATGTATTGTCTGCTTGAAAAGCCTGTCTAAATGAGACAATAAAACTATCTCAGAAAGCATCCAAATCAAAGACTATTATTTGTGTTAACGAAAAAGATGATTACAACTAAAAGATAATCTGATTGAGATGGTAGGTAAACCATAACCTTATGGCCATCTGGCACATAGTTACATCTCAGGCACAACTGCGGACTAGTTATGTGCTGCATCATATATACACATAGAATAAAGTTTTCATTTTTGTATGGCTCTAGATTCAATAAAAGAAGCCAGTTCACGGAAGAAACCTTAGACGCAATTTATTTATTGTGAATATTTATTAAAGTAAACATATAAAATATTTTGTCCTAACCTGATTAAGAGGTAATATAGATGTTTTCCTCCCCAATGGCTATATAACACGTAATCGGATAGGTAGAAAAATATTCCGAAAGAATAATAGTAAAAATGATATATTCAGCGATTCATGAAAGCAACGTCTCTTTTTGGAATACGAAAACTGAATAAAAGCGAAGATATAATGTTAGCACAAAGCGGCTGAAACGGAATAATGCGTTATTCTTTTAACGACTCTCAATGTGGAAAATTCTCTACTCAGACACTTTCAAATATAAAGGATAGGAATTTATCTAAGTACTCTCTTCCGTTACAGTTGAAACCAAAACATCTACCTGTACAATGAGGGGGAGTGGACATATTCATACTGACATTTTGGGGCTTCAGATCTCAGTTGGCCATTCCAAAAGAATATGAAAAGTTGTTTCTGTTTATATCTTGTTTCACAAATATTTTCATCATTTTTCAATTTTCTGGATCATTCCTTATGCAAAACAGTGTTCTTTTATAACCCTTCTGTGTCCACCTATGAACTATTACTACCGAATATAAATTTATGAGGAACATTCTATTCTCGATAAGTATAAAACTTGGGCACTGTGTTAGAGTGTAACTCCATTATGGATAAGATTTTATTTTGATAAATCACACACACACATATCAATTATGATTATGAGCAATAATTTGTGCTCGAAACGTCATCAGTTAATATTACTGTGTAACACTGTGATTTATCAAAATAAAATCTTATCCATAATGGATTCTATTCTCTAGCTTACATGCATAGTATTGTACTGTTACCGGAATAACTCCGTCCTGAAAACAATGATTTTGACTGTAACCATATTTTTATGCTTTCTGGGTAATAATTCGGAATGAAACAACCTCTCTTGTTATTAAAACTCTAGAAGCAGGTATAATGGCCAAAAATAGGGGAACGTATACCACTACAGGCATCTGAAACTATGTTTAGTATATAGAGATAGGAGTGAAGTAAGTAAAGCTACTAATTGCTTTGGTCCCGAAATACTGCGAACATGATGGTTAAATTGTAACACCAAATATACAGCAATACATAGTTAACCGAGCATCAAAATTTGATGAATAAGTTCTTCTGAACCTATGTGTGAATTAAATACCACTGGTTGTTAACAGTTACTTGTTAAATCTGTACTTAATCTCACTCTCTTTACTTAGTGCACTCGTGAAATCAATGAAGTAATAACTACTGTGGTTAAATATCAAAAACTAATAATGACAGTCTACAGAATAACCTACAAAGTATTCTGTCTGCTGACTTTTAGGTAAATCAAGTTAAATGGGGAAAATGCAGAACCACATCATGGGCATAATAAGAAACGGACAGTGATATGTTCTTAAATGCATAGCAGCTGTATCTCATTGGGTTGTATATTAGATGTTCAGCCGAAGGGTGATATGTTTAAGTTCCGCTGTATTAATCAAAACTTAGCAGTTATTTAGAATTACTGGCTACCATACATGAAATCCAGTATATTGACTGGTGGCTGGACATTTGTGGAAATGAAGAGTTGTTATTTAAAGTCACAGAAAAGAATTAAATTTAACCCAGAAAACGAATCTCTTGGTTATATCAAAAGAGAACAAGTGTTACCTTTCATAGGTCCCTAAGCCATATCCTATGACATAACCAGTTGCTTCACAAAATTCATTTCTCCTCCTTGCAAAATTGTAATCATGTTTAGTCAGCCTAGAGTTCATGCTGATTACATTATTTACAAATTTTAAGGATTTTTTTTCTTATAAATTTTGAGTTAAGAGAATCATTTGAATACAGAATCAATAAATGTGAAGTGTCATGTGTTCCGACTATTACAGATTCACCATTGCAGTTGTTATTCAGCTAATGACACTTAAACAAAACGCTATCAAAGCAAGTGAACAGATACCTATAACATCTTTTATTATTTATCATTCAATTAGCTCATGTTATATACTCATCAGTATAAATTAGCAATGGAAAGTAATGACAACAGCAATACTTACATCTACACGAAGGCTGGTCCGATACGTCAGGCCAAAGTATTCCGTTTCTTGTAAATCCAACTGTTTACAAACTTTTTCAAATAAATGAAACCCATAAGCATTTTTCTGAAAGAGAATATAATTTTATTGGGAAAATTAGTAAAATCTATTGCATTACATATCTGAAGATAAAACAATTTATTTTGATGATAATGTATTCTGTAGTGACACGCTTACAAAATAAGAGCAAAACCCGGGATTCTAAGAGATTTTAACTAATCACCTGAAGATTAATGATCTGACTCTTAGCTTGACTTTAAATCTTTCTTCGGGATCATCTTAGCAACTAGGTTATACAGCTTAATTCATACATCACCAGGATGGTAATCTAGAGAATCGCTGATGCAAAAATCTCCTTTTCAACTTCACTCATCAGCTAAGTATACTGAATCTATGTCAGTGTACCTGTTATTTGCCAATTCGCTAGAATACCAAGCTTCCAAAAATTCTCTGGCGTTCTTGGTTTTTCCTCTGTCTAATATTTGAACATTGTCTCAGTCGAACTGACCGTCATCTAGATCATCTACAAAATAAATTGCAACGACTGAGAAAAGCACTACATTGGCCGAAGTGGACGTCATCTTCGTCTTCTCATCCATGAACACAAACTAGCCGTCAAAAGACATGATATCCACTCCCTCATATCACTGCATGCAGACAACCACGGAAACCAATTTGACTGGGGCAGTGTTCATATATTAGACAAAGGAAACACTAAGAACTCCGGAGAAATTTTGGAAGCCTGGTATTCCAGTGAATCGGCAATTAACAGACACATTGACATAGATAAAATTCACCAATCCCTAAGAGGAAAACCTTATGCACAAAAAGTCAAACTTCAGGTCAAGGGAACAATCAGTACCAATACAAGTAACCTAAAGAGTGTGAAAACAGACGAGAGCAACCAATCGTGTTCAAGGTTACCAGGAGAGATGCCTAATAATCTCGTGGAGAAATTTAAAGTCTCACTTCAAATTGAAGCATGACCTGAAGATGTTGCCTGGTAAGGCAATGAAAGCTCCGCAAGTAAACCATCCAGCTCAGAGAACACAACTACATCAAAATCATCCACTTGAGCTACAAATCTTCTCCATTATATCTCAATTTAACCTTGAATTGCCATGATGTAAACGACCTGCTTAAACAAGAACTACATGTGTCGGGCAACAACTAAAAACTGTGATGTACACATATTGGTGTGCTTTTTTCAGTATCTGAAATGAACTCAATGTTTTTCAACAACAAAATCTGTGCACCTGGCAATGAGCCATGTCTTTTGTGTGAAGGCTAGTGATAACACCCGGCTGCTGCACTCACGATAGATGGAGAGGGGTTCAAGCCCTTGACCCACTAGTTGGAAGCTGCTCACCAAGACCAATGAGCCACAGCTTCTTCGTGATCTGAATAACTATGGTTTACGCATAAATGGGTAAACGGCTGGATAAAGCCTTAATGTTACTATATAAGGGAGTCTGTTTGTATAGCTTCTCACTGCACCTAGATTTTCCCAGATAACTACTCTAAAGTTAATTGATTTTTCACATCAAAGTGCAAATGAATTTGTTAAAATTATGCTAGGTGGAATAATGAGTATTCGCTAGTCTTGTTCACAACGTGTTTAAGCCTGTTTGTTGACTAAACTGATCGAAACACAAATTTCATCTGGTAAACAAGCCTCTAGGATTATCAAATAAAAATTTCTTATTTTTATATAGCTAAACATATATATAAGAATTGAAAATCGTTAATATGACGGTTCAACTATGGGTATTTTATGATATTCGAATACATCTTCATATACAAATAGAATAACTTAAAATCTGAATAGTGTAACTTAGAAAGTGTCTCTTTTCTCATTTCATAGTATTCAGTTGCTGTTATTGTACTGAACTGATGAATATCACGATTAGAAAACAAGAGATCAACTGAATAAACAAGACGCACTGCATAACTGATTAATTCTGTTTAGGAACTAGTCAGGAGTGTTCAGTCATTGATGAATGCGTTAACAGATGACTGGCTATACAAAAAATAGAGCCTAGAGATTTTTATGCCACCAGTTTTTAATGGTAGCACATTTCTCCTGTTGGATCCAAAGCTTAGGAATGATGTTGTGCGTGACCCTAAGTACAGAGTGCTGTGAAGTACGTAAAAGATATGCTAACTTTAGTGGTCTTCACTGACTTCTCAGTTTATATGTATAGATGTGCATGTATTTCTTCATGAGTTTAAACTAATAGATTTTATTTTCTATCGCTTTTCCAAGTACTGGTTTTGTAGGGATTTTGTTTGATTGGTTGGAGGATTTCATCATGAGCTGATATCGGTTAGAGAACCATTGGAAAACCTTCAGGGAGTACTGGAGAGCTGTTTCGTCATAGTTTGGGACTCCTCATCAGTATGCACTCATTGAGGTTCGAACCCAGGACCTTATGGTTACAAGGCGAGCTCGTAGACCGTTAAACCGCTGGGACCCTATCCAAGGGCCCATGAATTCTAACTTCTGTCAGTTCATGACATAACGTGATGTCAGCTCATGGTGAAATCCTCCAACCAATAACAATTCCATTGAGAATTGTATCTTATGTATTTATGGTGCAATAATGATAAAGAAACTTACCTAATTTAATAGAAGTTAGTAGATATCAGGATGAAAAGAATTTGAATTGCGTATTAAGATTTACAGGATTTCGTCTTACTTAGTTGTGCCCTCAAGTATAAAACACGAAATTCTACTAAAATGATGCATTTTACACCAAAGAAATTGTTGTTTTCTTTTCATGAAATGAAACTGGAGGTGTATTTTTTACTAGAGTAAGACATCACACGATAGATTACATGCTAGCACATGACTAATTGATATTGTGAATTGATGAATTGTAGCTTTCTTGTGATTAGACTAGTTAGATGATTGCATCTTTTGGCAATGAATACCTTTGGCTTACATTTGTTAGTTGTCTTATCAGTAATGAAATGTTTACAACTGTTAACAGTATTACAATTTTTAAATCACATAATCATAATATCTGCAAAGTCAGCATACCTATTATATTTATTGTGAATTAATACTATCTTATACTGACGAGAGACAGTTATCAACAGATTTTTCCCGTTTATGTAAACATTGCTTGGATTTTATAAAGTTCGGAAGTTCGCTAAAGTTTTTAGATGAAATTAGACACTGATTGATGACTTCCAGGCTGTTATGTGAATATATTTGGTAGATTCTGGAATACAGACACACTATCATCCAATATTTGTCATATCTCTTTACCTGTAGTCAGCATTTGACTCCGTACACCTAAAGGTATCTTGACAATGTTTGGCGATGAAGCGAGTCCCGAGAAAGTATATAGTACTAATCGAGGCACTCTACCAGAAGACATGAAGCCTTATTAGAGCTTACAGACAGTTTTCATCTGACAACCACAGGCATCTCTGAGGGGTGTCTTCTATCCTCATTTTTGTTTAATTACATGTACTAATAGAACTGACGCTAATTGAGTTTAACGACTTCAGAATTCACTTGTTACCAGGATAAAGTCTTGTTGACTTAGACTATGCACATGATATTGTCTCCTTAGGGGAAAATTCTGACACCGTCTCCCAGCTTAGAGAGGACGTTTGTACTGCCTAGAAGTTCGGTCTATACTTCTTTGTGATAATGAGACATGGCCATTGAAAGTGGAAGATATGAAGAGGCTAGATGTCTTTGACCACAGATGTTTACGTTCTATCTCGGGTGTTAAGCGGTATAATAGGGTGAGTAATATCGATTTTAGGCGTAGAGTGTTAGGTGTTACGCATGTCTAACCATCACCTTTGTCGGCGAACAATGCTAACTGACATGGGATCAGGCTGGAAAAGAGTTAGCGGTGGTCATATCGTAACTTGACTTCACCCACGAAGTCTTTGACAGTTAGTTTGAGCCCTTTAGGGATGTACAAACTTCCTGGCTGGGGTCCTTGGTATGCTAAGAACCAGTGGTTGGAGACTACTGGTGCTATAACTCAAAATCGTTCTAAGTGGTGCAAATGCATTCGCTCTTTGTGATCTCCCAAATCTATTAAATCCTATTGTTTTTCTCTGTCTATCTGTCTGTAAATAAAAACAGGTTTTCGTCTTAACAACAAAATGGAGGCTTCAAAATCGGAAACAAATAAACTTAACAAATATGCCTTAATTTGTTCAAATATTATTCTGTCATTTCTAAGAAGACTGAAATAAACACGAATAATCCAATTGTTTGCTTTGACACGTTTATCGGTTGTATTAGAAACAATTTAATGAAGAGGAAAAGTATAAATGCTTAATAATAACAGATGAAAAAAAATCCCCTGTGATTTTACTGGGTATTGTACTTGCATTTCACTATAGAAAATGTTTCACAAGATTACATTTATGAGGTGATTTAACCGAACGATATTATCAACCAACCAGATTCTAGAAAATAAAAGAATCTGAGGTTGTTGACCGGTTAGTTGATGGTGAAAAAAGAAATTTAGAATAAATCTCATGCTTCTGAATGTTTCTTAATAGAGTTTAGGTTTTTAGAAAGACCAGTTATCAACTCTGCTTTGTCCTGGATATAAGCCATCTCCAGGCTGCTAACAGCATATGAAACATGAGTAGACCTACATGAACAGTGAACATAATAATTTGTGATAGCTATAATGCAATGTAGATTTCTTCATGAACTGATATCAGTTAGAAATTCATAGTAAATCAGTAAGAACTAGGCAACTGTTCCATCTTAGTTCGGTTTCCAATCCTTCTCTAAATGGTGTCGGTTCCTCAGAGAAATTACCTTGAAGTCATTGTAGTTAACATAAAATTAACACCTAAAAATCAAATGAATGAATTACGTTCCTGGTATTCTTCACTTCTTCAAATTTTGTCGATAGTTGATACTTATTCGGTGAAAATACAAGTACTCTAGCTTAGTCAGTTATTTCTGTAAGCAGTTTGTCGTGGTTAGAAAACAATTTTAATTAGTTGACTTCGCCTTTATGCGATCCCTTAAGTTTACTGCTAGTCAACCTAGTTAGCTGTTAATAAGGAACCGT